ACATCTCTAACTACTCGCAGAGATATGCTAGAGATTATTTGGTCACCCCAAGTGTTGGACACTTTACACCCTTTTGGTGTTTTTTTTAAACAAAAAAATTGGAGGCCATGTTTATTAATCCCGCTGGGGACACCTGGCGATGAGAACATCTCCACCACTAAATCTAATTCGTCTCCAGTATCATATCTGCTGGCGACAATGATTTCTCCCCAAAGCCATGCATTAGTCCCGAAAACGAGCATCTCCCTCGTAAAAAACAACCGGCCCATACATTTCATTCCTTTCAGAGATAATCACGCCATTAATTGGTTGCCTTAGGCGTTGGGCACTGCACATCCATTCGACGTTTTCAAAAAAACGACAAAACAGGTTACATTGCAATTAGTTTATTTCTTAACATGCGGATCAAAGAAGGAACATCAAGAAACGCAGAAGTTTACATGCGAATGCTTGCAGCTCCTGCGATCTTTGCGAGCGTCTCCAGTGGTTTCTTCGACGACCAACTCCAAGCTGTCAAGTCGTTGCTGACATCAGCTGGCCCGCCTGGTGCTGTGAAAGTCTCCACCGTGTTTCCGGATCCATTCCAACAGCCTGCAAATTGTGAATAATTCCAGTGAAATTCTATCTTCATAAATATCAAAATAGAAAAATTAGCATACGATTTGCACAATACCGCTAGACAAAAATTTATTTCAATAAAACTCAGAGTAGACTGAGTAAGCTTTGAACGCAGTATCTACTGAAGGCGCTTTAACCTCTCGGTTGCGTAATTCGCGTAAAAATCTGTTTTAATAAGCAAAAGATTTGCACTACAAACAGCCTACCATCGGCTCTAACCTCGTTGTGTTTACGAAAGGCCATGCATGGGATGTCTCAATCTTCCTCATAAAAAGGACTTACACAGAAAAGGCCATGGAATGGCATGAAAAAGAGGAGAAAGTGGAGAAGGAATGCAATCAGTGTAGAGCAAAGAAGGAGGAGGCATCATTACCGAGAGCAAAGATGGCGTCGTCGGTGGAGGTGAGAAGAGCGAAAAACGCGCGGGGTTCCTTCATGCCGGCCAGCTCTGTCCACTGGCCCAGGGGGCACTTGGCATCTGGTGGTGTGAACATCTCCACCACGTTTAATCTCTTTCCATCATATCCCCCGGCGACAATGATTTTCCCCCGAAAGTGTGTCGCTGCCAGCCCCTCGCATACAGTTCTCATGGGTGCGGCTGGCTGCCAAAAGTCCGACGAGGTCGTCCTCTCTCGCCAGTCTGCTCGCAGGTGGCAGAACTCCACAGAAGCCAGGCAGGAGGAGGGGCCATTCCGGCCGCCAAAAATGAAGACTCTACTGTCGCCGGGCAGGCAGGCAGCAGCTGTGGAGTTCCTCTTCTCTCGCAGATCAGGCAGTTTGAACCACCTGTGTGTTGGGGGGAGGAGGAGGAGACGAGTGAGAAGGCAAAACAGGAAGATTTTGCAAGAAAAAAAAGGAGGCGCCAGGGCGAGTGTGCTCTCACCTGTCCCGACTGACTTCATAGACTTCACAAGAGGAAAGGCATCCATCGTTATCGTTTACTCCACCGAAAACGCCGATCAGCGCCTCCCCTCCGGCTTCCGTCACAACTGCGGCTGCGTGCAAGCTGCGTCCAACTGCGAGGGACGCCCGTTTGCGCCAGCGCCGTTCTCCCACCAGAAACTCCTCGACACTCGTGGAGTTTTCCTGTTGCGCAGTGTCTCCTCCAACCACGAAAATGCCCTCTTCCGTGGGGGTGGTGTGGAGCAGAAATTTTTTTTTATAAAATTGCGTTGAAGAAAGATAAAAGGAGATAGGAAAGATAAAATAAAAAGGCGTGTAGTTCACAGAAAGAGGGGGAATGTCATCATCGTCAGACAAAAAGACGTGGATGGACAAATCTCCCAGTTCAATAGCCGCCAGTGACGGACACAGACCACGCAGGTGGAGACACGGTTGGGTAAATTGAAGACGGAAAACAGCAAACGCGTCGGGACAGGCCGGGCGAATGGACAACTCGGACACCTCAAAACCCCTCAATTACTGCTACTGCAATCCTACGCATTGTGTGGCGATGGCAGCTGCACTGGCAGGACTGTGTGTGTGTTTGTTATAATTCCGGCAAAAAGAGACACCAACTGGTGAAATTAGACAAAGAGGAAAACAAGGCAGATGCGCAGAAGAGGCGGTGCGTAACTGTCAGGCAACTCACCGCCCACGAGACTGTGGGTGGCCCATTTGCGCTTCTCCATGTCAGCAATCCTCTCTTCCTTTTCCAGGTAGGGATTGAAACGCAGAACAGACCACCTGTCCTGATCTTCGTCCTCTCCAAATACGAAGAAGATCGCAGGATGCGTTCTCCGACGTTGGTTGAAGGGACACGGCGGTTTGTCCTTGTCTGCGAACCACATCCACTGCTCCACCTGAGACATAAAACGACTTTCATTAGAAAATAAATTGCGAACTGGAAGAGCATATACTTACGCACAACTGATGCTATCCTGGAAAATTGGATGACTATCGACTAGGCGACTGCGGAATTGGAGAGTCGTCTGACACCAACGAACCTCCTTTAGCATTTCCGAAGCGTGCAATCTCAGTCTCTCATTATCGCACTCTTTATCTCCGGCAGCCACCCAGCTTGAAATCGCCTCAAAAACTGCCTCCTCGGAGTCAACTGACAGATAGTCGTTTCGCAACAAAGTCAGCACGGTGTCAGCTGGTAGGCGAACAAAGAGGTCAGACGAGACGAAACTCCTAAACTGCTCTTGCATCAGATTGATGCAAGTCTCCATCAGGGATTCCATGCGCACAGATTTGGCAAAGTCCCATGTGGTAGCCAGATTTTCTAAATTCACTCTTTACAGCCGACAGTTAAACAGAAAGAACCCGCACATATTTACCTGTTGGCCATGAATTGCACTCCCCAATTCTCCAGATCAGACAGTTTCATCATTTTCGCAAACATCACTATGGCCATCGCATTCGCTTGGGTCATCTGCAACCGCCCGGTGTACACATACTGGAGGAGTGAATTTGCGAGGCTAGAAAGTGCAAAAGCAAAATCAGAGAAAGGAGGATGATTTTACTTCAGAGGCACCGTCGGCCATTTGAGCACCGAATTATCCTTCCCGAGGGCGCCACTGAGAGCAGCTCGCAATGACGGAATGCGAGCTGCTAGTATTATTCGATGAGCATTGAGAATAGCGCCGTGCTTCACCTAACAAACACGAACAAATTTCCGTGTAAAGAACGGTAACAGGAAGGAGAGCTACCTCTATGGTGAGGTCTTTGAAATCTCCCGAAGTGCGAATCTCGTTGAGGGCTGGACAGCTACGAACCAGGGGAACTGCGTCTTCGAATACTTCGACGTCTGCGAGCGCCATTGCGAGTGATAACCGTAACAGGATCGACGAATGATCTCGAGAGCCATTAGCACTGCCTCTTATAGTGCCAGCACACTTTGAACCCGCCCGCACGCACGCACTCATGACCTTCAGGTCCTGATTGGCCGATTTCAAAGTACGGATTCGATTGGGCGATAGTCGGCACAGTTATATGGTGTAATGCTTAGGCGAGAACCCCCGAGTTATTTTTATTGGTCAGGGCTACGTGGGCTAGAAACCGCCGATGGCGCACTTTCAAAGCCAAATGGACTGACATGTAACTTGCTAATGAGGAGACCGTCTGCGAAAATTCAATTATTGCCACTGGGTTTTGGTTCGTTTTGTGCTGATAAAGAATACTCGTGAAAACCACATGGTCGTCCGGCTAAACAGGCGTACAGTTTAGGTGCATCACTTAGCAGTAAAAACTACTGATCTGGTGCGGAGTGAAGGTTGGCTGGGTGGGCTTTCCTATGTCCATGCGGAAAAACGAGCAAATAAAGTAGTTCAAATAGAAGAATTTTAAAGACAGTCATTTAGTAAACTTCGCAAATAAATACCCAAAGAGAATACATAACGTCAACTAAGACATCTACCTACAGTACGTGACCTATCTCGTGAAACCTGGTCACGGAAACTTATGTGACAATTTTTGGACGTCTTAAAAGTTACGCATTTTGCTTGCATATTCGGCCCCTTCAATTCAATGCCCTTTTCTTGTGCAGAAATTGTGTTTATGCAATTATATCCAGCAAAATATTAACTATTTTTTTTAGAAAAAATGAACGTTGCAATATATTCGTGCCATTTCATATGCTAATATCTGTCCTAGACTTCGGCTTTGCATTTGAGCGTGTTTCTCATTAAAAGGAGACCAATTTACTCGCGGGAGTTTTAATAAGCAGAGGTTTGCGGACTTGAGAATTTGTTTTATGCCCGATCCTAACCGTGGTAATCAATTTGCTCACACAAAGGTCATTTTAAAAGAACCAAATATTTTAATGATTTTTTAAAAAAGTCATATTAGCATGTCAGTGCGACTTGGTGCCCTAAAGTGCAGTAATAACGCAGACAGGGATTCCTTCGTTTAAATGAGCTGAAATTGTTTTGCCGTTAGGAGAATGTTATGTGATGTCACAGAAATGACCACCACCGAATGGCCATTTCCAGTCTTGAAGATAAGAAGCATTACTCGCCGTGTAGTCTAGCCTGCGCAAATGCCTTATTCAGAAATGGAACGAGCAAAACATGAGCAGTTTCAGCAGAATATCAGTATTTATGTGGACGCTCTCTCGTGCATTTATAATCGAAGAACGGAGTCTAAACGCGAGCAAAGCCAGGAGAAATGGCTGCAATATATCGAGAAAGATATAATCTTGCGTTTACGGTAGAAATATACCAGTATGGTTTAGGAGGGTGAAAGAAACGGCCAAAATTGTCATATTTTTTTCTTGGCCTCACCGTGCAAAAGTGCAAAGTACACAGAGATCCGTCAACGGAGTGCAGTAAGAAAGCACTTCCTAAAGAGATAACTTATTAGAGAGGGTTTTCAAATTGTGATTGAAAGCCTATTTGTTACTGACTTTCGTTGTGGACAGCTATTCTATTCGACAATGAAGTTTCATGCTTGAGTGGGTCTTCAAATTCGACTCAAACGACCTTCTTCATGAAAAAGAACGTACAAACACTCGCTACTTCGATAAATGCCTTATTTAAAAGTTTAACAGAAACATGTTACAGAATCTCTCTTTATGGGCGATCGGATGGCAACTGAAAATCAGCAGCGTTATCCTGAAGAGACTAAAATTACACGTTAATTTAACGCAAGAAAAAGTTCTATTTATAAACACAAAATAATATAGGCTGTATGTTATTACAGACAAAGACAGGGAAGACTGGAATGGCAATTTCTGGCTTATTATACCCAATCCCAACGCGTGGAACACGCGAGGCTCGAACTCGCGACCTGTTGGTTAGATGTACACGCCTCTAACCACTGGGCCACGAGCCCAAGAGTCGAAAACAATCGAATACTGTAGTATAACCCCGTAATGCCAATTCAACAAACGAGTACTACCACAAGTAGTATGAAATGCATGCATCAAAGATACCATACCGTACTCCAGACACATGTACTAACTAAAAGCCCAGACATGTGTTTCGCCGATACTCTGCCTCTGCGTGACACAGCTACGAGGGGTTCGGCCCTTGGGTATGACTGGCTAACGACAGCTTATACGCCAGAAATGGCCATTCAAGTCTCCCTTGTCTTTGTCGGTAATAACATACTGCCTATACTATGCGCCGCTGTGCGGCTGCTGGTTGGGTTCGAGAGAGAGAGCCCGTAAGGCACGACGGAACGAGTGAGTTCCGTAAGAACGATCGGTGAGCGCCCCCTACCAAAAAATACAGTTAGTGACCTAACGCATGAAATGTGTCGAAATTTACGATTGATTGCTAATCACTCGCAAACCGACACCATTTCACGAGTCCGATTTCTATGTTAATAAACTACAAGTTTAAAAGCATTAAAAATACGAAAGAATTGTTAAAGACAGTGTGGCGTTATTTAGAAATTCCGATTTATTTTGAAAAGCGCAATATCCCGAAAACGTCAGAAATGGCTCTAATTTAGTAAACGTAGTTTTTAGATGTACAGAATGTATTATCATACCAAAAGCGTAGTAAATATGAAAGTAGACATAAAATAACGTCTTATAACAGTGTGTTAGTGAAGTTTACATCTAAATATCGTTTAATGAGTAGTGTGATTTCATATATGACGGTGTGTCAACTGCCTACATTCTGAGTGCAGACTCCAAAACAGTTTTCCAGTGAGTCCTCCATTTTGTTTGTTTAAAGTAAATGAGATGGGGTTCAACAAAAGAAGCTGGATTTTGCTTGATTTCACCGATGGGGACGTCGTAGGAACAAAAGTTTTCATAAGGTGACATGCCACGAGACCGGTCGGTGCCTAATAAATTTAAATAGAACTGATAGGCGTGATCGTGAACGTGCCATTTTGAGTTTATAAAGATAAATATTCTTCCGTTAAATTAATTTACACTTCTCTTTCGTTTTGGATAACGTTGAGTTTCAAATCAGCCTCGAAATGCTGCTGAATACTTAGTGATTTTTAGTGTTTTCACCCGATCGTCCATAAAGACAGATTCTGAATTGCCTGTCTGTTGAGAACTTAAAAATAAGATTATTCTTGAAGGCATTTACCGAATTAGTGAGTGTTCAGCCGCTCCTTTTAACGAAGATGGTCGTTTGGGCCACATTTGAAGACCCATTCAAACATAAAATTTCATTTTCGAGAAAAATGTCTGTCCACAACGAAAGTCAGCAACGAATATGCCTTTGATCAATGAAAAAACTTTCGGTAGTAAGTTACCTCTTTAAGAAGTGCTTTATTACTGCACTCTGTTGATGAAATTGATAAAACCTCTGGTTTTCTTAAAATAACCTTTGTGTTAGCAGGTGGATCAACATGGCTATCATGGAATTTAAAATAAAATTTATAGTCCGGCTAAACCTGTTTATTAAAACTCTCATGGGCAAATTAAAATCCGTTCAGATTGGAAAAGTTTAGAGATCCGGGAAGATTATTAGAAGAGGAAAATTGGCTCTCCGGAACAGGTTTATTTAACTGCTGACGTTTCAAAGAGCTGGATCGGCTCTTCATTGTCAAAGCGTAAACTGCACCTAATCGATCAGAAATTTAGTTTAAAGTGGCAAGTTGTGTTGGCCGGCCTCATGCTGATCGATTTTTTTCTCTCCTCCCGCTGCGTCGGCCTCTCAGGAGATGGTTGACGGACGTTTTTGCCTGTGCGCTTTATGAGTCACCACTCCGTCGAGGGGAGCTGATTGGACTTTAGTCGGGCGGTCGGTCTGGCGGTTCTTCTTCCTCACCGAGTAAGCTCAGCGTCGGGCTATCTCCGTGCTGCCTTCTTAAGTCAGGTGTGGTTGTTTGGTCCTGAGCTCTACGATGACGTAAGACTTTGTAAGCTGCAGGAAGGTCCAGATGCCTGTTGATAGAGTGGGCATCGGAGAACCACGCTTCGAGAGTTAGCCGTTCTGATTTTGTGTTGCCTCGGCCTAAGATGGTAGCCCTCTGGAGGTCAAAAGTATGCCCCGTTTCTCCAACGTGTGTTGCTAGTTGAAAGTTAGGGTCTAACCTCCGAGTGGCCGATTTATGTTCTTGTAGGCGAGTTTGCAATTTCCGCACAGTTTCGCTCACATAGTTGCAGTCGCCCTCATTGCAATTTATTTTGTAGATGACTGCTGAGGTTTCAGCGGGTGGCAATGGGTCTTTAGGTTGCATCAGGCGACGTCGAATTGTTGCTTGTGGTCGATGGGCTATGCCTACTCTGGTGGGTTGTAACAGTCGCGAGACCGCTTCAGAGACCCCTTTAACGTAAGGAATGGCCCTCCAGACTTCGGGTTGCTGCTCATTTGGCCGTTGTCTGTGCGCCCAACGTCTGCTTCTCTCGATGAAATGCCTGAGATAACCATTGGCTGCAAATAGGTCCACAAGGTACAATCGTTCGGCCCTTTTATCTTCTGGTGTGCTGCAGTGTGTTTCGACTCTTTGGAATAGAGTGCGGACACAACTACGTTTGTGAGACAGTGGATGGTTACTGTTGAAGTGTAGGATCTGTCTCGTGTCAGTGGATTTTCGGAATACTGTAGTTTGTAGCTGTCCAGTGGTACACAGGCGCACAAGTACGTCAAGGAAGGGCAGTTGGTTGTTTGTTTCCGCTTCCATCGTCAATTGTATATCAGGGTCAATCGAGTTCAGTAGTCCCTTTAGGTGTTCAATGTCAGTTGTTTTGACAACGACGAAGGTGTCATCGACATAGCGGGCCCAGAACTTTGGTTGATATTTGGTGAACACCAAGTGTTCTACCCGTTGAAGTACTACTTCAGCAATTAGACCTGATATAGGGGAGCCCATAGGAGTGCCCTTTATTTGTTCGTACATTTGTCCGTCGAAA